TTAATGTATTGCTTAATATGTGGCTGCATGTGTGCTTTCGTTAATATATTCCTTAATATGTGGCTGCATGTATGCTTTCCTTAATATATTCCTTAACACGTGGCTGCATGTGTGCTTTCGTTAATGTATTGCTTAATATGTGGCTGCATGTGTGCTTTCGTTAATATATTCCTTAATATGTGGATGCATGTTTGCTTTCCTTAATATATTCCTTAACACGTGGCTGCATGTGTGCTTTCGTTAATGTATTGCTTAATATGTGGATACATGTGTGCTTTCGTTAATACATTCCTTAATATGTGGCTGCATGTGTGCTTGCCTTCCAACATTCCTTAATATGTGGATGCATGTGTGCTTTCGTTAATACATTCCTTAATATGTGGCTGCATGTGTGCTTTCGTTAATACATTCCTTAATATGTGGATGCATGTGTGCTTTCGTTAATATATTCCTTAATATGTGGCTGCATGTGTGCTTTTGTTAATACATTCCTTAATATGTGACTGCATGTTTGCTTTCCTTCCAACATTCCTTAATATGTGGATGCATGTGTACTTTCGTTAATACATTCCTTAATATGTGGCTGCATGTGTGCTTTCGTTAATACATTCCTTAATATGTGGATGCATGTGTGCTTTCGTTAATACATTCCTTAATATGTGGATGTATGTGTGCTTTCGTTAATACAATTCTTAATATGTGGATGCATGTGTGTTTTCGTTAATATATTCCTTAATATGTGGATGCACGTGTGTTTTCGTTAATATATTCCTTAATACGTGGCTGCATGTGTGCTTTCGTTAATATATTCCTTAATATGTAAATGCATGTGTGCTTTCGTTAATATATTTCTTAAAATGTGGCTGCATGTGTGCTTTCAATTATATATATGACTGCATGCGTGCTTTCGTTAATGGAATAATATGTCCATTGATTATGCAATGTTGACGAATGCTAGAGTAACTGGCACCTTGTGTAGTAAGTACATTACCTTATACCCAAACGCGTATTAGTTTGTCCAATATCACTGCTGGTTACATTACAAACAAGATTTGAAATCGGTTGTTGATATGTATCAACGTATCATTTACGTGCCGTAAATGTCATCCAGGAGTCAAGCGATGACGTAAACATTTGTGCGGCCCGTATGTTTTGGACGCCAGATGAAACGGAGGTGTCAGCGGTGTAACCACGGCCACGGACTAATCATGGAAATAGAGTAAAACACACGTACTAATCACGGACGCACGTGGACAGCCCTGACAAAAAGTTCCTTATCACGAGCGTCCATGTTTACGAAATCACTGATGATAGCATTGCGTACGGCCGAGCATGCGTGCGAAAATGTCCGGTGCATTATAAATCTGTATCACACCCGCTTCGCCGGCAGCGGTTTGAAACTGTAAACTACTGATTTTTGGACTGCGGATTTCAATTAGACATTTTTAGTAACCAGCATTGATATTGGACAAACTATTACGCGTTTGGCTATAAGGTAATGTACTTATTAACTACACAAGGTGCCAGTTACTCTAGCATTCGTCAACATTGCATAATCAATGGACCTATTATTCCTTTAATGTGTGGGTGCAGGTGTGTGCTTTCAATAATATGTGGCTGCATGCGTGCTTTCGTTAATATGTGGGTGCAGGTGTGTGCTTTCAATAATATGTGGCTGCATGTGTGCTTTCTTTAAGATGTGACTGCATGCGTGTTCATGTTCATGCGTGAGAAGGCGCGCATCAACGCACGCGTCTGTGCATGTGCGCGGGTGCACGCAGGGATGAGGGGAGCTGTGTGTAATACATGCAGATTCATCTCTTTCTCGTATTTCTCCCCACCACCACCACCTACACCGCCTCATTCACCGCCACCTTCAACACATCGCCACCGCCACCGCCACCGCCACCACCACGACAGACGAATAAAGAAGAATCGTACGCAGGTTTTAAGGTGTTATTGTACAATAGAAACGGCTTTATTTTTCAAATAAAAACGTTAAGTACCAGACTGGACACAGGGTATAGAGATAACAGCTGCGAGGTAACTGCACCACAACATCAACACGCCCAGCTTCACCCCTACAGAGCTGTTTCCTAGTGATCCTGCTTCGCGCATGCGCCGATGTCGCCAATGACGACGACGCCTATTGACGTTAACAACGTCAGCAACGTTGACGACGTCACCGGCGACGTTACTAAGTGTGCGCTGTAGCGTCGGTGACGTCACCGACCAACGTCAGTGACGTGACCAGCGACATCGGTGACGTCACCGCCGCCGCGCAACAGCACATGTCGCGTCATACGACGACCTAAGTCGCGCTGCTTGGCACGAAGCAACCTAGACACTGGAAATACGGTTACTTGCTAGATGGCGCGGCGAGCGCTGGTCGGCTGCCGAGAGCAGCGGGAGAACCCTGGGTCGCAGATAAGGGAGGCCACACACGCACGCTTAGCTGGATGTGAAATACATAGAGGCGAGAGACAAAGTTAAATGTTAGCAGTATAGTTGCTTTTACACAGATACACGATATTGTCATTACAATGGACACGCTATTGCCAATAACTCTCGTCTGCTCCTCACCGGTGACGTCATCGCTACAGGGCAGCTCATCTCGGTGCGAGTGCGCGTGAGATGTTCGGTTGTTAGTGTTTGTGCACGTGTCACGTCAACCGGTGAAGGGACGAGAAGTTACCGTGTTTAAGTAATATAAATAGAGGCGCTGTATATTACAAAGCTACACTTTCACCGCTACATATGTGTATATATATATATATATATACATGTGTAACGAGTAATGTCTGAATACGCGCGTTTATCGATCACCTACGTCTGGTGGACGGCGATCACAGCTGCAATAGTGTTTCCGGTTCCGGCATCAACTGGGATATTTTGCACGAAGAGGGACGGTGGTGGCTGGGAATAGAGAACATCTACCCTGACAACGAGCGGAATTTCAGGGACAGTGGGGACATTGATTGACAACGAGCGGGATTTCGTAGGGATGGAGAGGGGCAGTGGGGACATTGGGGCGAGGGAGAATGTTACGACATAAATAGATGACAGATCTGAACGTATTTATATAACAGAGACCTAACGTTGTTGCCATCTCTTCGCGTCACTACATGTGGAGCACGTACACGCACGCACGCACGTACGTTGACACGCACGCACGCACGCTCGCACGAACGCTCGCACACACTCATATACGCGGCTGCAGTTCCAGATCTAATTTAGCTTTTGTACAGGGTCAGTATAGATTGATAGCGTGCGCGCGAGAGAGAGAGAGAGAGAGAGATAGTGAGCAGAAACAGTTAACATTATGACGATAAATACTTGAGTGGAATGTGTGTACATGGTCGCGGGTCACGTGGTCGCCGTGGCGGTCACATGATGGCAACGCAAGCTCACTCGCCATTATGGATAATGGACTGAACTTGCGTGCGTGATAATTTTATTTGTACGTCAAGCTGCCAGCTAAGAAACATTCGCAGGATAACCTTCTCGTTCCAAAAAATGTACATTAAGCATGCGGGCTATCTACCATATATGGTCATCAAGTTGCGCGTCTTACTTATTGGATCTATTGCCCTAGTATGTAGTAGCGAGTCGCGCAATAAATGCTGAATTATACGTATGTAAAAGTCACACCAGATCGCCCACCAGAGAGCTCTGCATGACACCCGGACGACTCCGAGAAGATGCGACGCACAGTTAGGACAAAACACGTGACATTATATTCATCATAGCAGTGGATAGGATTTTTCCTATCGATCAAACAAGAAGAGGCTTAGAGCAGCGCACCGTCAGCCTAGTCGGCGGCCATTGCTTGCTGCAGCGTCGTGCTGAATTCTAACAACGTGTTTCACAGGGTTCGGAGCAGAGCCATATCTGAGCTCCTGCCTACGCGTGATCGACAGTCGCGAGGTTTGCATGGAGTCTTGTTAAGCATCGGTACTGCGCGCCATTCAGCATGCGCTGCTCGCTGCCATCATATAGCGACAGCACTACGCCACCCACTACTGAGAGCAGACGTGTAGCGACCTCTAGCGTTCTTACGGAATGCACGCGATCGGATTAGGTGTTTGTGTGAGGGAAGCGTGCCAGCTAATTCAGGGCAGCGAGCAGCGACTTTATTCTACCAGGCTCTCATTGCGACAACCACCAGCATGGTTGTTCCCATGGCAACCAAGCATTGTCCCGAGAACAGCCAATTATTACCCTGACAACAGCTAATCGTTGTCCTGACAACAGCCAAGCGTTGCCCTGACAACAGCCAAGCGTTGTCCTGGCAACAGCCAATCGTTGTTAACAAACAACAAACATTGTCGTAGCAATCGTCAAGCATTGTCATGACAACAGTTAGACGCTCTCATGACAATAAGCGAGCATTGAATTTTGTGGCAGCTGCATTTCAGCAGGAAGTAACAACTCTCTGATGCAGGCAGTACAAACTCACATGCTTCTACGTGCGCTGTCTTTTACAGAGCAGCATGATCTTAGTGCGGATTTCCCCCATCTCGCACGCACGCACACGCACGCACACGCACGCACACACGCACACATACGAACAATACATACAGATGTACTGTCTCGATTATAGATGAACAGAAATGCTTTGCACCAACAAACATGTACCGAATTCAAAATGAAACCGAGCTGTTTTGTGACTATTTTCACAATGACCTATGAAATGAACACATAAATAGAAAGGCGTATTAGCTCTAGACTCACACAAGTTGCGCGGAACAGGCACGAGTAAATCAAAAGCTAATAAAGCACTACTACTGGCAAACGGTGCACTTCCTTAGTTACTCTACAAGCTGCGTTCGTATACACTCCTTCCAAATACGTTTGTTTCTTCTACACACGACGCATTCGGTGTTGCGTATGTCATCGTCACTAATGACGTCATCGAATGTCGCATGCCCAACGACGATGTCATCATCCAGGTGGACTAGCCGACCTCGGATAATGACGTCATTGCGTCACGTTACTCTGGTGACGTCATAGGACATGCATCCTGACCGTTGCGAGTGACGCCGGCACGAACAACTCTTTGTTGCTGCGAGATATACAACCGGAATGTGAGAAAAATTCGCCCGTAGGCCCCGTGCGGCGTGGCCCCCGGGTAGCGGCGTAAGGTGCGCCGACGCGCGCGCCACCACGCTGACGTGGCGCCACCGTGCGGCACGACGACCAAACGGCGGGCTGCCGACCAAACACGAGGCTCGCCGCGGCGGCAGACGCAAAGCTCGTTCGAGATAAAACTTCCAACAAGGCGAATATCTAACGCTGCTGCTTCGCCGACGATCGAGTGGGACGGTGACCACCTCCCCCTGCCCCTGGTTGGGGTCGAGGGAGCGCAGCTAGTAGAGGCCGCATCCTCGCAGGTTGTTGGCGATGATGACGTCCGTGACAGCGTCGAACACGAACTGGATGTTGGTCGTGTCGGTGGCGCACGTCATGTGGCAGTAGATCTCCTTCGTCTGCGACTTGTTCTTACTCTCGAACTGCGCCTGGATGTAGGCTGACGCTTCCGTGTAGTCCCGCGCACCTACGCAACAGCATACGATGTAATGACGGAGCCGCAAGATGACGAGGATGGGGAGGGGCAGGAGGAAAATTATGAAGAAGGGGAAGAGGAGGAAAAGAAGAGGTGGTGGTGTAGGGCGATTATGATGAGGAGGAGCGGAAGGAGAAGGAGGAGGAGGAGAAGGAGGGAGAGGAGGAGAAAGATGAGGAGAAATCGGAAGTAGCCTAATGACGGTTACCAGGGCAACACGTGCTAGCGTCAGCGTAGTCGTCTGATGAAGCCCCCCCCCTATGGTGTTATATCGTGCTCTGCTGAAACCTCTATGGTACGATTTCATTCTCTTTTAAGCCCTTTATTGCATTATGTAGAGTTCTAGCGTGGCTTCTAATGGTGTCATATAGTTCTCCACTGACGCTTCTATTGTTAAATATGGTGCTCTACTGGGGTGGTCTGGTGGGTTCAACGATTTTTTTCATCGTGGCGTGTATGGTGTTCTATGATGTTATATTATGACGTCTATAGTCTAATATATGATCGTTAATTTGTTACAAGCTGTTCAATACTGGCAGATGAGCAGCACCATACTATTAGAAAAATGGCCAACTCTAGTGCCTAGGGGGATATAAATTCGATCAACTGTACATATCAGAAGATTGACGTGAATTTTGATTCCCCGTTAAATAATACACGCCCGCGCACGCACGAGGGAGGGTAGGGGAAAGGAAAAGAGAGACGGCCCTCCTACTTACCGATGTATTCTGCAAAGCAGATGGTCAGTGGTGACTTCTTGATTTTCTCCTCGAAGAGATCCTTCTTGTTGAGGAAGAGGATGATGGACGTGTCCGTGAACCACTTGTTGTTGCAGATCGAGTCGAACAGCTTCAGACTCTCTTGCATACGGTTCTGCGGGGAGACGCACGAGCGAATGAAACGGGAGCCAAATGCGAGACAACGACAGATCCGACACTCGCGCGTTAGTCAGGTGCCTTAGGTCCAGATTTGAGAAGGATGGGGGACATTCCGGATAAAAGCACCAAACTTTTTCCATGTACTATCCATTGCCTTAGGTTTCAATTTTTGATAGGAGCCACTTCACCAAGATGGAAGAAGGAGGCCATATTAGATTCCAAGATGGCCGCTATGTAAAAACGTGCAACGCCGTTGTCTCGTCAACGTCTCTCCAATACAGTCAAAGCCCATGTTAACGGACGCCCCTATTGACAGTTGTCCGTAAAGGGCATTTTCGCAAGGTTCTTGCGTTTTTCTACAGCGAAACCACTTCAAGATAACGGCTAACTGATAATATAGTTGATACGTATATAGTATAGTATAGTATAGTATGGTATAGTATAGTATAATATAGTATATATATATATATATATATATATATATATATACTACAATATAATATATATATACTACTAATTAATAACTAACACACACACACACACACACACACACACACACACACACACACACTACACAACACACAC